CAAAATATTCCTGGTCTTACAAGGAATCCAGCAATGTCAATTATATTATCCTAACTTTAGTTTGAGGTATTATTTATTAAAATTTAGTGGTTATCCCACACATCTCCTTGGGACGGTTGGTGGGGGGTGGGGGGGAGGGAGGGACCAACCGACCATCTGTTACCGTGTGAAGAATTATTATTTTTTTTTATTAACTGAAGATATTTGTTTTAGCTCATAAAATTCATACAAATTACCCGGTCAGAATATAATTTACATTGCTGGAATTCTTATAATTTGGTGATCATTTTGAATATAAACATCATATATTTTGCTTTAAACTTACAATTTTTAGATAAAAATTTTTCTCTAGGTAACTATGGTATCTTTTGTCCAAAATATATGACATTTATATTCAAAATATTCCTGGTCTTACAAGGAATCCAGCAATGTCAATTATATTATCCTAACTTTAATCTGAGGTATTATTTAATACTAAATGTTAAAAACTCTGGAAGGGAGGATTGGTGGGGGGTGGGGGGGAGGGTTGGGACTGACCGCGCGGTTGGAAGAGGGGGGGAGGCAAGGTGGGGTACTTTGATTGACAGATAGTGTCGTGAAGATTATTTTTTTTTTATTAACTGAAGATATTTGTTTTAGCTCATAAAATTCATACAAATTACCCGGTCAGAATATAATTTACATTGCTGGAATTCTTATAATTTGGTGATCATTTTGAATATAAACATCATATATTTTGCTTTAAACTTACAATTTTTAGATAAAATTTTTTCTCTAGGTAACTATGTTATCTTTTGTCCAAAATATATGACATTTATATTCAAAATATTCCTGGTCTTACAAGGAATCCAGCAATGTCAATTATATTTTCCTAACTTTAGTTTGAGGTTATCCCACACATCTCCTTGGGACGGTTGGTGGGGGGTGGGGGGGGGAGGGAGGGACCGACCGACCATCTGTTAGCCGGCTGTGTAGTGTGAGAGGGGGAGGGAGTTGAGTCCATTATTTGAATGGACATTAACTTGGCGACTGTATTTCTCTATTTCTCTTAAGTATTAATTGTGTGCATGTACCATCATAAAATTAAGATGTTATTTTTACTACAACATAGGTATGTGCCTTCAAAAAGTGGAGTTTGGGGGTCGGGCCGGTTTCTATTGGAATTAATCCCATATGTTTGTTGTTCTTAACGCGGGACCCTCTGGGTTCAATTGACCGTTAAGTGGGTACAACTGTACCTTCTTCTGGAAGGGTAAGCCTGCTGCAGAGAAAAGCCGCATTTATGGAGTTGGCTTTGCCATCCGCCAACGCATCCTACACAGGCTAACTGAAATGCCTGTTGGGATCAACGAGCACCTCATGACGCTCAGTCCCACTGAATCACTCATGTCATGCCCTTTCCATCAGTGCATACGCCCCAACACTGGATGCAGAGGATGATATCAAGGAGGCCTTTTACGCCGACCTTGACAAAGTGCAAACCTCTATCCCCAGAGAAGATAAGGTTGTGCTCCTTGGTGACTTCAATGCCAGAGTTGGCAGAAGAGCTGACATTTGGCAGGGAATCATAGGTGCAGACGAAGTACGCAAGTGTAATCCCAACGGCCTACTCCTCCTCAGCAAGTGTGCTGCACACAACCTCATTATCACCAATACCTTGTTAAGGTAGGTCGACAAGTTCAAGGGTTCGTGGCAACACCCATGATCCAAACACTGGCATCTCATTGACTACATTATTGTCAGAGAAAGAGATTGCCGAGATATCCTCATCACCTGGGCCATGCGTGGCTCAGAACACTGTGACATTGATCAGTGGCCCTTCAGAGCCAATCTCTCATTTCACGTCACCCCAAAACAGCAAAAGCAACAAGCCTCCAGAAGAGCTTTTCACACTAAGCATTTGGAGGATCCAGCGGTAGCACATACTTTCAGAGAGCAGCTCGAAAATGGGCTGATAAGCAACCCGACAACAAACAACCCAAATCCCAGTGCCGAATAGGGCATTCTCGACACTGTCGTGACAAAAACCTGCATAGAGATCCTCGGCCAGATTAAAAGAATACACCAAGACTGGTTTGATGAAAATTACCCCAAAATCAATGTACTCGTCGATGATAAACATGCTGCTTTAACTGACTGGCTGAACAACCCTCAGTCTCGAACCAAAGCTTATACCTTCCACAAGCAGAAAGCGGCGGCCCAGCTCGAACTTCGCAAAACCAAGAATGGCTAGTTTAAAAATAATGCATGTGAAACACAAAAACTTCCAGATCAACACAAAATGCACAAATTTGTCAATTCCACTAAAACATTTCATGGACCAATCACTCGTGATACGGCACACCCTCCGCTTATCCGACGGTAATTCCTGAATAAAAGATGAAAACGGCATCCTTCAGCGCTGGAAAGAGCATCACTATTCACTACTCAACCGAAACACCGATGTGGATGTCCTGAGCACCCAGCAGGTCCCTCAGCATCAAGAGCTGACCCATATCAGCTATCCTCCATCCCTGGATGAGGTAATTACTGCCATCAAACAGATGAAAATTAACAAAGCCTCAGGGCAACATGATATCCCAGCCAAGGTGTATAAAGCAGGAGGACCTCTGCTTACCAGCCGTCTCCACTCTCTCCTGGAGAATATATGGGAAAAGGAGGAAATCCCCCATGCTCTTAAAGACGCCTCCATCGTCATTATTTTTTAAGAACAAGGGAGACCGGTCAGACTAAGGCAACTATAATGGGATCTCGCTGCTGTCCGTAGCTGGCAAGATTATCACCCGAGTCCTCCTAAACAGACTCCTTCCTGAGGCGGAAAATTTCCTCCCAGAATCTCAATGTGGCTTTAGACCGACACGTGACAGCCAATAACATGATCTTTGCTGCCCGCCAGATACAGGAAAAGTGTAGAGAACAGCATCGTGTCCTGTACATGGCTTTCATCGACCTAACCAAGGTCTTCGACTCAGTCCACAGGGAAGCCCTCTGGTAGACCCTTAGCCGTTTTGGCTGCCCACCAAAATTCATCACCACTGTGAGGCAACTCCATGATGTCATGAACGGCAGTGTTCTGCACTATGACACCCTGTCTGAATTTTTCCCCATCCAAATGGGGGTAAAACTAGGATGTGTACTGGCGCCAACTCTCTTTTCCATTTTCTTGGCTGCCTTCCTTACTCATGCCGGTGCCAATTTAGAAGGCGGGGTGGACATCTTGTACTGAATGAAGGGTCTTTCAACATAAGACAACCCAGGCAGGAACAAAGGTGTCCTCAGCTTCCATCACTGAACTTCAGTATGCAGACAACCTCACCCTTTTTGCTCACACTGAACGCGACCTACAGGAGATCCTGAACACCTACGCAGATGCGTATGCACACTTTGGCCTTGAGGTGAATGTACATACAACTCAGATTTTCTTTCAACCTGCCCCAGGTTCAGCTACGCCTCCACCATCCATCCAGCTTAACGGTACTACCCTCTCTAATGTTACCCACTCTCAATATCTCGGCTCCCACCTGTCCACTACAGCAACATCAATGAAGAGATTCAACATCGAATCAGATGTGCCTCTCAAGCCTTTGGCAGACTCCGTGCCCAAGTCATCAGCTGTAGGGAACTAAAACTATCTACAAAGTTGCAGGTATATTGAGCAGTGGTCCTCCCCACCTTGCTATATGGCAGTGAGACATTGGTCACATACAGGAGACACCTCAAGTAACTTGAAAACTTTCACCAATGTAGTCTACGTTCCATTTTCCGAGTTCGCTGGGAAGACAAGAGAACAAATGCCAGTATTCTCGCTGACACCAACTGTGGGAGTATCGAGGCTACCATTATCCATGAACAACTTCATTGGACTGGCTATGTTACCCGCATGGACGACAGTAGACTGCCAAAGCAGCTACTTTACAGTCACCTAACGAATAGAAAACGTAACGCTGGCAGGCAACTGGAAAGGTATAAGGATAGTCTTAAGACAAACCTCAAAAGTGCCAAATCGACCCCCCTCACCTCGGAGAGGATTACTCCACACCATAACACTTGGAGGAGCACCATGAGAGAAGGTGTCAATACTTTTGAGTTACACTGACCGCAAACTGAGGCAGAAAAGTGCCAACGCCGGAAAGACGCTGCTGTCGCCCCTCCTGCATTAGATGTAGCCCCCCACATGTGCAATATCTGTGAACGACCCTGCCGGTCCAAAATCGGCCTCTCTATTCACCTTAGAGCTCAGCAACAAAGGTGACATCCTTAAAAATTCTCATCATTTTATCATAGCTGGATGATCTTCATACTCGATTCCGAGTGACAGGAAAGTAGTAGCAGTGTGTGTGTATGTGAAGAAATAGTTACAATAATAGGCATTATATGGCCAGGGTTGGAAAAATGCATGTCCTAAATGATTTATAACGAGACTGATTTAAATCACATCATAAATGTCATAATGAAACTTTAATTGTACAGAGATCAAATACAAGTGAAAAACCACTTAAAATACTACACAATGAACAAAGCTGTTTTAAGTTAAGTTCTTATGCAGCATTATACTACATTTAGGTTAGATATGGAGAGATAAAACTAAAATAATGCTACTGTACTGCAAATAAATTAACTTTAATAAGATGAAAATTTGTGTAGGCAGGAATTACTTTTTTCGTGTATTTTGAAGCAAGTTCTTACAGAGAGAGATAAAAATAGTACAGTAGTTGATACAGGTACATTATACTGTATTTCAGATAACTTAATAAAACAGGAAACAATCAAATCACTTCACTGCCAAATTTGTCTTAAATCTAAATAAATTTCATATTCTTTTGAGTAAAAGCTGCTACAGTATTTTAAGTCAATGACTTGTTATTATGAAGGTTGAAGAGTTTTTAAATATATGCAATATGAAAATATTCACTTATGACTTTATGACAATGTACGGAGTCGTGTCAAACATTGCTGATATGAACCATGATATAGTACAGTACAGTATAAGGTTGGGCTACCTTGTCATTAGCTGCATCATTGACTTGGTTGTCATTATGCTGGTGGAACACTTCACTGCTCCCTTGGGCTGCTTCCTTCATCTCACTCTCATATATATCTTGTCTACTGATATCCCTGAAAATATAGTGTTATAACACTCAGAACATTTACCTTGTTCCATGAAATTTATATTTTCATATCTGTGTACACATCCAGTATTTATACTGTACAGTATTGTGTTTCTCTTGCTTTGGGGAATGATGTAAATTTTACAAGTGTATTTTTTAAGTAAGATGTTACATTTATTGCTACCGTTGTTTGTGTATTAAATATGTGTATCCATCTATCTACCTATGTAATAATCCAGTAGGCCATAATGTTTTCTGGTAGAGTACAAAACTGATGGTGGAGTGCCAAGTGGCCACTACACTGGACTATCTTACTGACCATATTGGATGGGTTGAAGCGTTTGTTAACGCTTCGACTCATTCATTCGAGGTTTGGGGTTAGGTCTCATCTCCTCCTCCATAGTGATGACTGATGAGTACATTGTTACAGTATTTGTATTGTGTGAATTGTCTTCACTTGTATCATAGTGTTCCTGCTCCACTAGGTTAAGTACCGTACATTCTTTTCCTTTTTTTTATGGGGAATAGCCCACCTGAGCACAGGTCATCGACCCACAACAGGGCCTGGGGGGCAAAAAAATGAGAGTAAAAATAAATTAAAAATACAAGAGGAAAAGACTAAATTAATCTACACCACGAAGATGCCGGAAAACCAGCTTTTTGAAGTGAGACAGATTGTAAGACTATAGAAACACAGAAGGCAGAGCATTCCACAGTTTGGCTGTGTGAGGAAAGAAGGATGCACTATAAGGGGTTATTCTAGTATGACCGACATCCACAGAGAAATGGTGGGCACCGCAGGCAAGACGAGTGTTACGAGCCTACAGCCTTGCTGGCGGTACACAGGATGCCAAATCTACCGAACATTGCTCATTTAAGTACCTGCAAAGAGAGAGAGTGAAACAACATTGCAGCAAAGAGAAAGGAAAGCGAGATTATTGACTAAAGGAGGAAAGTTAATAAGATGAAATGCCTCTGATTCAACCCTATCTAACAGTTGGACAGAAGAAGAGCCACCCCAAATATGAGAGCAGTACTCCAAGTTAGGACAAATAAATCCCTTATAAACTTGAAGCAACTGCTAAGGACTGAAGTAGCTACGGCATCTGTACAGCATTCCTAGCTTTCTGGGGGCAGATTTAGCAATGTTGTAGATGTGTGGCTTCCATGATACGTATATAGAGGAAATGGTGAGGCCTAGCATCTCTATTCTAGAATTTGGCAGAATGGTTGCCTCCTGAAATGTGATTGGTGGGAGATCTTCTATTTTGGAAAGTTTAACTGGTAAATACTGTTTACTGTATTACTATTGAATTTAACCAAATTTCTTCCTCACCAGTCGGAGATGCTGCACAGATCCATATTGATAAATGAAGCGATATCAGCTCTAGAAACAGATCTAGTATGAGAGTTAGGGGGAAGGGAAAATGAGAAGAAAAATGAAAAGTAGAATCATCAGTGTAAGAATGGATAGAATTAGTACAGGAATGTTTCCAATAACGACGGTTTTATTAACGATGATTCATATTTAAGACCCTGGTTAACTTAGGACCCAATTCAATTTACACTGTTATTTTCTTCGTATTCACGACAAAAATAGAATAAAAAATAAAATAAAATTAAATTAAATTTTCATATAAATAATAACTAAATCCCGATATGTATTATAAAAAAACGCCTTGCGCACGGAGGCTGACGGGCGTGTGAGTGGTGACGTCAGCATCACTAGTATAAACAGTTGCAGCTTGGCCAGACTTTTGTTTTCACACAACCGAACAGGAAAAAGAGAAAAACTTTCTCAAGTTTCTTATAGCATTTTTGTGCCCCTATTCAACATGAGCAAGAGAGCAGGTGATGGTATTGCTGGCTCAAAAGCTAAAAGAAAGTGTATAAGCTTAGCCGAGAAACTAGATGTGTTAAAATTATATGAAAAAGGTGAGAGGTCTGTGGATATTTTATGGAGCAAGCAAAGAACATATTTTCCGAAGTGGATCCAATAACAGAACGAAGCATTAAAATTAACATGGACATGAAAAACACATATGACCTCTACATGAAGAAAGCAGCTGGATGAGGTTCTTTCAACAGCTTTATTATTCAAAGGCCTAAACCATCAACTTGCTACACCATCAAATTCAACATCATAAGCAGCTTCAGCAACAACTACAGGTTCGGTAACAGTTTCAGCAGCAGCTATGACATCTTTATGGAAAGCTACAGCTTCAGCCAGAGTTAACCTATAGCTTCAGCCAGAGTTGAACCTGATGACTTTGTCATCTGAGTAAAAACTCCCACAACAACATTCATTGGCTGTCCTTATATTTTTTACTTCACCACCACCATTGATGAGTAGAATTTTTGTTTTACATTTGTAAGTATTATTTAAAACATATGAACAGTAATAATTGTTACTTTTATATTCTTATGTAGAGAAATGACAATATGTTTTCACGTGTATACAGTACATTGGCATTGCGCAATTCAGTCTCGCTTTACCATTAGTGGTTAGCTACTTCTATTGTTCCATTTATTAACATTAAATAACGTTAATTGAAACATACATATTCATTATTTACATAAATTTTACTACAGTTACAACCGGGTTCTTATTTTCTTCAGTTTCATATGTAGAACAATCGTCATGGGTGTAAACACTAACAAAAACAATGCCGTCTTGTCTCCCCTTGTGTTTTAATATTCTACAGTGAGTTCTGCTATAACGCGTGTTTTGATAACGCGAATTTGCTCTAACGCGATTTATGAATTCGGAACAATATTTGTATAACGCGAACGCTTGTTTGCTATAACGCGATTTTTGCTTACTATTTCTCCAATTTTGTGGTATTAACTGTGAATATGGTAAAGAAGAATATCTCCAAAAAGCGTTCTGATGATAGAATTCCCGGTGATTATCGTAAAAGAAAGGATATAACACTTGAAGAGAAGCTCGATGTTATCAACCTCAAAATCACCCTTCTCCCCCATCAAGTTACATTCATATTTTTTCAAGGTAAAGTGTTAAATTTACTGTATGATTTCATTATTAGATATGAATGTAACATTTATTTAGACTGTGCTATCCTTTGTGTTAGGCTAACTACTAAATTTTTTCGATTTCGAGTAATCTGCACCTAACCCTATTTTCTCCATAAGCCCTGTTATTTCTATTATGCGATTTTCTATAACACGATATTTTACAAGAACACAATTATCGCGTTATAGCAGAACTACCTGTACTTATTATTAATGAATTGTATTGTTCATTTCGCATATAAACATTAATTCAATCAAATACATATTCAGTAATAAACAATAATAAATCTTTTGTACATATTCTTAATAAGATAAATGACACGGTTTTCTTGAGTGCGCACGTATACGTTGGCATTCCACTATCAGTCTCTCACTTTTTTCTTTACCATCAGTGGTTACTTCTACTGTACATTAAATAAAATTAATTAAAACATCAAATTATTTTACATTAATATTACTACAGCAACAACCAGGGTCTTATTTTCTTCAGTTTCAGGTGGATGACTGACATTCTGGGTGTAAACCTGAAGTAAATCATTTATAAAAAGAAGGAAGAGAATAGGTGAAAGAACAGAACCCTGTGGAATACCACTATTGGTAGAGAAAGAGTGAGAGATCGATCCCTCGACAACAACTGCCCAACTGCCATGGATTGGTTCTCATGGAAGCTAGAAATTAGAGAACAAAGTGGGAGAGGGAAGTTTAGAAAGCAAACACTTATGCCATATTCTGTCAAATGCTTTGAAGATGTTGAGGGCCACGATGAAAGTTTCCCCATAATACCTAAGAGAGGATGACCAAAGATGGGTGCAATAGGAGAGCAGATCACCAGTAGATCTCGCCTGGCGAAAGCCATACTGGTGATCCGACGAAAGAGAAAGGCGTTCAAGGTGATGGAGAAAATGAGTTTAAAATCATTTCAAAATTCTTAGAGAGGGATGAAGTTAGGGCAATGGGGCGATAGTTAGAGGGATTAGAATGGTCACCCTTCTTCAGGATGGGCTGAACCAAGGCATGCTTCCAAGAAGAAGGAAAAGTTTGGGTTTTGAGGCAATGGCAAAAGAACCGAGCAGGCACAAGCTTCAGCACACTCCCTCAGAACATGGGGGGTATTCCGTCTGGTTCATGCGTCTTACTTATATCCAGATTGGATAACACCAGCAACCCTATAAGTGGAGATTATAGGAAAGTGCATAGGCTCAGTAGGAGGAGCAGGAGTAAAAGAGGTAGAGTTGGAATCGTCTAAGGTGGAGTTAGAGGAGAATAAGTTGCCAAAGAGATTGGCTTTATCAGGAGGAGAGTTGCCTATAGAGTTATCAGGTCGGAAAAGAGAAGGAAAAGAGGGAGTGCAGAAGTTAATACAGATGTTCTTGGTTAAGGACCAGAAGGATTTACTAGAAGAAGAGTTAGACAGGTCAGCGGTCTTTCTTTTTATAAAATTCCTCTTGTAGGCTAGAAGTACACTATGGGTCAACTTAATATCTTTCATTGTAAAGTTTTGTTTATTCCTGTAGAATAATGGTGTTAGGTTTTGGTCAAAAGATAGATTTTCATATGGGGCAGACCTCCAAATTAGTTTTGTCATTATTGTTCTAGCATGCAACATAAATAGTTATTCTACTCTTTGGTTTTGCTTTACCCATATTTGAGATTGATAAATAGTTATTTTAGTAGTGAGCCCAAAAGAGAGAAGAGTTAAGGTGGTGGTACACTGGGCACTTTTTCTCCCAACATGTTGGGCGAACACTGTCCGGTCCGAACAGCAAAACAAAGAGACGTGTTCGTCACACGGGGATGCTTTGTTGGCGCATCTGCTCAATGCAACAAAAACGACAAAGTGTCTAGATGAGGTGCGCCATAAATCCTGTTACAACAATTGAAGCCTTGCAGTATTGTGCTAAAATTCTTCAATTGCTAAAGTAATTGAGGCATCTGTAAAAGCTAAAGAAAAGACAGATGGGTGCGTCGTAATGA